TATGAATACCAAAAAACCAGAAATGCTGATAAGAAAGAGATTAACACAGAAAAATGCTTCTATAAAATTTTAAAATTCAAGATATAAAGTCATGTGATTATAAATGAAATAAACTGTATAAAAAGGCAAAAGTGAAAATAAATGTAAAATTAAAATATTGAGGCCCCATGCTCTGGTTTCTCTTTATTTGCAGATGCTGTGGTGTCTCAGGTACAAGTGAGTGGAGTGGTGGGTCAGCCTGTCATGCTACCCTGCACGTACTCCACAGCTAGAGAAGTCACAACCATGTGCTGGGGCCGAGGGCCATGTCCTTGGTCTCTATGCTCAAATCAACTCATCGGGACTGATGGACACCATGTCACCTTTCAGAGGAACGCACGTTATGAGCTCAATGGACTCATTTCTAAAGGGAATGTGTCTTTAACCATAAAGAATGTGACCCAGGCCGACAGTGGCACGTATTGTTGCCGTGTGGAGCTCCCAGGGTGGTTTAATGATTTGAAAGTCAACATATTATTGGAGGTAGAGCCAGGTGAGCTTGTCTTCCTTCTTCCTTTGATCACTTTACGTGGGTGAGCTGAGATGTTTGCTCTTTGGTAGTAATTTTCTCTTCCTTTAAAAGGGAAAGAAGAGGCCCTACAATCTTGTTTATTTGTATAGAATGAAGTGTTAAAAACAACCTTAATTCAACACTGTAGGTTAGAAGTTCTTCCCAGTCAGCAAACTATGTCTTAAAGTAGTGCTTCAAAAATGATAGTTGGTTCATTGAAAAAGCATTCGCTGCTCCATTGTGGAATATAATGAACATATTTATCAAGCTGAATTTAGTTTATTCAGCTTTAACAACTGCCCCTTTTCTCTGAGATGATGTCTTAGAATTTTTATAAAGTCTTAACATTTTAAAACTAATATGCAGAATTTCTAACATAGAAAGTAGGGAGTATTATATATAAGGTGTTGTCAAGTGGATGCATCACCAACTTTAACAATTGTCAGTTCCATCTTGTTGCGTATACTTTGTGTAAACATAGGGAGTTCTGCCCCAACCGCTGCCCTACCTTGGACTTTTTGACGCATATCTTACCTCATATCCAACACTGCTTGTTTAAACATTAAAATCACCCTTATTGCCATTTTAGTAGGAAAACATTTGTATCCCAATAACTGTTCACCATTTGCTTTTAAGATTTTTATAAAATCCAGAAATCTGGGAAGTTTCCATTTCTTCACTCCTGAGGTGGACATTCCTAATAGTCTTATTTGATAAAAGTAGGTTCTCGAGCTTTTCCTGGTTTCTGGTACTCCTTCTTAATTCTCTTTCCATTTAGATCTCATATTGACAGTAGACTCCACTACCTGTGGCCTCAATAAGCTAGATCTCTGTGGTTTTTTTTGTTTGTTTGTTTGTTTTAAGGGAAACTGTATTTTCCAATCTCCCAATTTTGGGACTTGGCTGTTTTCTTTTATGTAAGCAAGTGAGATAAGGTCAATTCAGATGGAGAAAACAGTTGACTCTGGGGAAACTCTATCAGGGAGACAATTCAGGGACATCCAAAGAAGCTGGGGAGATAGTATACTATAGACAGATGTGAAAAGGCAGCATGTGAAGAAATTTTGATTTCAACTTTTTGGAGCTGTAAATTATTTTGATCTGGCTGAATTAAAAAAAATGATAGAGAAAGGAATCAGTAGGTGATTTTTATAGTGCCTACCAGTCCTTTAAAAGGCAGGTATATACAGGCCACTGCTCTCTATAGTGGGAAGTAGGTTTGGAGAAAATCAGGGATTTTGTGGAAAGGGACCTCACAGGGTGATCTGATTGTAAATTCCTAACTGGGCAGGTCATAGTGGGTAGTCACACCCCAGGCATACAACTTCTTTACTAAAAGGCTTATCTTTGCCTTGAGCAGGCCCTGCCCATTGTTTCTGTGCATCTGGGTGAACACACCTTTGAAATGCCCCCTTTCAGGCCCCTCCTTCTAATACCTGACCAACCTTTCTGACCCCTTGAGAGAACACAGAATTTTAACTTCCCCATAATCCAATCCTATTTGCTTCTTCTTATCATCATGTACTCCTCCTTAAATTCCCTACTTAATCTCAAATGCATAAAAAGAACTTGCAAACTGTTATTCTCCAAAGCATTTATCTCAGTTGACATCTTGCTTTCGTGTGTATCCTCAGTATCCTTAGAGCAAATACATTTTTATATAAATTCTCTACAGGTTTGGAAATTCTTACGTTGATAACTAAGCCCAAGTGACTCTGTTTCTAATAACCAATTCTTTGCATAAATGTTCTTGCATTTTTCACAGGCTGAATTTAATCTTCATCTTCTGTTAGAGCCTTTCCTCACCAGCATTTTCTGTTACAATTTCCTGGCAGCTTCCCAGGGAAAATATTTTACACTGAAGAAAAGTTCATTAGACAATCTGATAAGCCTTCCTCCTCTTGGTTCCTTACTTTGATCAGAATTTTTGAAGGCATGTTTTTTTTTCTCTAGATTAGATTTAAAACTGGAAGTAGGAGATTGTATTGTATTCATAAAAGCCTTTGACTACACCCTATATAGAGGTCAGCAAATTATAGCCCAAGGGCTAGATTACATATACAAACAAACCCACATGTTTTATAAATAAAGTTTTATTGGATCAGTCATGCCCATTCATTATACTCTCTTGTCTCTGGCTACTTTCACACTGACAGAGTTGAGCAACTGCCACTGAGACCATAAAGCCCCATAGCCTAAAAAATTTACTGCTGGCCCTTTATAGAACTTTTGCTGACATCTGCTTTAGACCAATGCCTTGCATGTAATAGACACTCACAAATATTTGTTGAAAAACTTTTGTCTTCTTCAAGGCAAAACTTGGCTCGATTCCAAATTGAGTTGGCACTCTCAAAAACAAGAGCTTTTAAACCAATTATCTCCTATCCAAAGGGTTTTTTTCATAGTAGAGTTGAGATTTCAGGAAACTTCTTGCAGGAGAAAAAGTTGCCTGGTGAGAAAAAAAGTAACACATTATTGAATTAGTCCTTCATTGATCTGCTTTTGTGTCAGGCACTAAGTTTGGGCTTAATTCCAGTTTCAGATCTCTCTGGGTGACTCTGACACCTTCCATAAGTGGTTTGGAATCTTACACCATCTCTGACTCTGTGGTCTAGTTGACTTCTAGCCCAATGTATAAATTGTCAGGGTTATGGAGCATACATTAGTGGGTGTGAGTTAATCCTCATTTAGGTTGGAGGTCCCTTGGGAGGATACCCTGAAGCCTGAGTCAACTGAATGCTATTTATCTGGTGAACATTCTGAGCCTGGGAACTGTTGTTTAAGCCTTAGTCATTCACCACTGAAGAACTAAGACAGGTCCAGGCTCTAGACATTTTCTGTACTTCATGGGTGTTTATGAAGACATATAATCTGACAGGCATGGCTGGTCTTTTAAAATTCCTTCAGTGCAAATCCTTTTTTACCTCTGAACCTCCTGGAATAAATACTTTTAATGCAACTTTTCCCTTTGCGAGCCTGTTTCCAGCCCTCCTGTCAAATTATAGTTGACCAATGAATGAAAGAACTCTGGGTTCCAGGGAGATGAGTGCCCAGTTCTGCCTGAGGTGGGTCTCTCATTGGTTGAGTTGATGTACAGGCTCAGCACAAAACTCTTGTTTCCAGCTGCTTAATTAATCCTTGCTTTCCTGTTGATTTCTAGCTCCACCTAAGGTTACCAGTGTTCCAACATCAGCTAGGGTCTCCACCTCTGCTCCTACAATGCCAGCATCCACGCAGAACCTCAAGACAGGTAAAGTGATGTATTTCTGAAGCCAGAGACCTTTTAATGAGAGAATGTAGACTGGCCAGGGCATTGTATTAAAAGGGAAGTACAATCTAGAGTAAGCGTTCTTCCCTGGGTTCCATACATGGCGTCACAGGATCTGTGAATCCCTGTCCCCTATTACCTGCACCATTTGTACCTGTAAGTATTTTCAGAGTGGTGAGATCCATAGTTTTTTAAATGGGATTCTCAAATGTATTCATTATTAGCCAACCAACCCCAGACCACTGTTCTTTGACAACTTATGAGGATGGTGTGAATTAGCCCAGCTGAGCACAGGTTAATGAGGAAAATATAGGGAATACCAGAGAACCAGTTCAGGTTTATGAGATTCTGTTCCCATGAAGGGCTCTGAATATATATATTCTTTAGTCCACTCTGAAGCTGGGGCCTCCCCTCCAGGATAAGATTTCAGTGAGGTTAATATTTACTCTGTCTCCTATGTGAGGAATCATGCTAAGTTATTTACAGTTAGTATATCACTTAATTCTTTTGACAATCCTATGCATTGTAGGTACGATTCAATCCTATTTAATAGTTGTGGGTACTGTCAAGTAGATATATTACCAACTTTAACAACTGTCAACTAAATCTTGTTGCATATGCATGGTGTAAGAATATGTAGTTCCACCCCAACCTCTGCCCTACCTTGGAATTTTTGAAGCATATCTTATATCGTATAACAACATTGCTTCTTTAAAAATTAAAATGACCTTATTGCAACATGAAAACATTTGCAACCCAATAACCCTTTACCAGTTGCTTTTAAGAATTTTATGAAATCCAAAAAGCTGGGAAGTTTGCACATTTTCTATCTTGATGTGGACATCCTAATACCCATATAATTTGATGCCAGAAGTAGGTTCCTGGGAATCTCCTGTTTTGTGTTCCTTTGAATGAATCTCCTTCCACTAAGGTCTTATATTGACAATAGAACTTAATACTTGTGGCCTGAACATCCATGTCTCTCTCTCTCTCTCTCTCTCTCTCTCTCTCTCTCTCTCTCTCTCTCTCTCTCTCTCTTTTTAATTTAGAAAGATTTTATTTTATAATCTCCCANATGGTGAGGCCCAGTGGTTCACATTCTGGCTTAATTCCTGCTAAGAGAGAACTTGGCCAATAACTGAGGCTCGGGGACTAACCACTGTGGCCACTGGGCAGGAAGTACCCTGCACTCACCAAAGGCCAGTGGACTGTCACCTCAGAGCCAAGGGTAAGCGCGCTGCTGTCATTGGAAGACTGCTCTTTGCTCTGGGCTTCTCCCCACCGAGGCTGCCTCTGGCCTCCTTCCTGTCTGCTCCTGAATCTGCTGTGTGAGCCTGTGTGTGGGGAAGAAGCTGGGAAGAGGGCGCTGCTTCCGAGGGCGCTCCGCCTCCGCCTGTCTGTTGGAGGTGCAGAGCCCTCGGCCACCCTGAGCTAACAGAGGCCTGCAGCCCCGTGCATGGCCTCCCATCCCTAGCAGGGCAGGCTCAAGTGACTCACCATCAGGGGGAAGGAAAAGCTGCAGCCTGAGGATTCATTAAGATTTGCCTGCATACCGTGTGTTGTGGGGCACACCAAGCAGTCTGCCTTCTCTTCCCTTTAGGCTGATGGCATCATGTGTCCTTGGGTAGCCTTCACAGGCCTCATACTACTTTGGACTGGTGAGTGACAGGGTGGGCTGGGGTGTGCAAGCACTGAGTGTGGGATGTGGGTGTGGGGGAGAAAGACGGATGTTCTTGGGCTGTGTTGGCCTGTAATGAATGGGTCAGCTAGCGAGCAAAGAACCAGGCTGAAATCTTACTGCAAAGAAATTGCTTAAATGTTATGAATTACCGAACCTATGGCCAAGTGAACCAGGCATGAAGCATAACACGTTGTCATGTGCTGCCATTTGTGTTTAAACAAGAAAGGGGGTGGGTAAACAGCTGGGCGTGCATGGGCTTCCCAGGTGCACATAAGAAACAGTACCAATGCTACCATGGGGTGGGAAGGGGATGGAGAGAAGAAATGGGCATAAGATGAAAAGAGACCAGTCTTTCATTGTACCATTTTGTGCAGCTTTGTTGTTTTTTTAAATATGTGCAATTATTTCTTTTAAACGTAAGTTATTTTAATTCAAAATATTCTATGAGATAGGGGAAAATTTAGGAAACGACCTTTCCTAAATTTGAAAAACAATAACCGCTGGAGATGGGATTATGGGGGAAGTTCATTTCTATTATACTTTCATAACTTAATTTTTATAATTAGCATGTTATACTTGTAATCCAAAAATTCTGTTAGGCAAAATTAAATAGTAGAATCCAGTGTAAAAATAGAGTCGTATTTTATGTAACAACGAGCATATTATTTGCAGAGCATTTCTGAAACTCACAGCCCATCCCCAATAGATTAGCTGGTAAATCTCAGATTTCATTTAAGGACTTGAGTGCATTTGGCAATATAGGATTTTTCGCCATGCCCACAGGAGAGAGTTTCTGTTTTTAAGTGTCATAATTTAGTGCTTGATGGAATAGTCCCCACTTCTCTGGTTTCCCGAGGGGAAGTGGGACTTGCTCAAGTGCTGGCTGTCATCAGCTCATGAGAAGGGACACCTAATTGTGTTGTTTTGGACCAGCCCTAAAGTGCATGAATAAGCATTAGCTCCTGGAAGTATTGGAAACTCACTTTCTAAAAACTGATTTCTGAAGAGTT